ATATATATATATTGCTTAGCTTTGTTTTTGTTAAACTGTTTTTGTGATCCATCTCAAACTTATATGGTTTAAACAAGTGACATGTTGACTTTTAACTAATACGGTTAGAATGTATCAAGGTCAGCTTATTTAGCCTAGCACATGAGGTTTTATCATGGCTGACAGGAAGGGGGACAGAATCCCCGTGAAATAAAGTAATATAAAAACRGATATCAAGTTAAAATAGATGTTGGAATTAAGTTTATACTTAAACACATATTGAGTGTTCATGCCAATTCTATATTTAAAATCTTATACGTGTTTAAGATGCATTTTCTACAGTTGTGGTTTTCAACAAGGGTTTTGGAATCTCAGTTTTCTTCAATGTAAATTTGGCACAAACAATAGGCAAAACAAAAGTTAATTGCCTCACAAATGTTTCCATTCTTCCTGTCAATGAAAGCCAACTGCATTTTAAATAAATTTGAATGTTTGACATCACTATATAAGGTCTACTCAAGGCAAATCTATATTTGTCATTTGCTCAAATAAATAAATAACACTGTAATATCATTACTTACAGTTTTTATAAATTTAGCAATATTATACTTATATACTAAACTTTTATCAACCGTGAAATATATTGTATTAACAACATGCTGCAACCACCTCTAAAAACGTTGCATCTATCCTCGGGTCAGTTGCAACATCTGACTTTTCACTTTCAAATGCAAATTGTGAAATGGTTTTGACTATTAACAGACACATGTAAGTTTACTGTATAAAAAATGTGGTTTGTCTAATCCAAACCTCCTCTGAACAACAGACTCAAATACAAAAAGTGTTGCAACTGTCCCCAGTCTCCCCTTATCAATGGATAATTATGTGTCACTTCAGCCTTTAAAGAGCCAAAGATTTTTGCTTTACCCRGAGGGAAAACTTAGGCTCGTCAAGCTGTCTTTGATAATTAGGCTGTTCTTCATACCTAGTCCTTTAGTGAAATATCTGAATATGTTATTTTCAGTTACCACATTATTTGTAAACCTAGTCTCTTATTCTTATTTTCTGTTTTATCTGTATATCTGCACGTTTCCATTTGCCTTTCACTTTGTTGATGATACATATATTCCGTGGAACACCAATTTTTAATTTTGGTTCTGGAACATAATTAGACTGCTGGAGGACAAACTGACCACATTTACCCACTCTGCTGTTGTCTCTCTCCTCTACATGTTTGTTGTAATTACTTCTATCAATAATGTGTTTTCTTTGCCTCTCTTCCAGAAGAAAATACACCTGAACCAATCCTTCTGTTTGTCTGAAGCCGTGTTTCCATCAGTGTTTTTTAATGCGCATTTTGAAGTATCACATTAGAAAAGGTGAATGGAAATGGCACGATTCGAAAAAAACGTCCTCAATTTTGAAATAAAAAAAATTTATACTCTCACTTGAGGTGGTTTTCATTTTTTTGTTTTTCGAAAAAGAGTTGATGCACAAAATAGGAGATGGAAACGCAGCCCGCTGTACGTCCTGCACTCTCRTTGTTTGGTTCCAGCCGGAACTTGGTTCAGGAAATACTTCATGTTTGAAACTATCAGCTCTGCTCCAGACTGATTCAGAGTCATTCCATCAGACTTGAACAGATGTCGTCTCTCCCAGAAGAGATCAAAGTTRTCCACAAAACTCACAGAGTGGTCAACACAGGACTTTTCCAAAAATCCATTAAGAGCMAACAGTCTGCTGAACCTCTCAGCCCCTCCTCTGGCTGTAGGAACGGGCCCACTGATGAACACATCCATGTTGAGATTTTTAACTGCATTCAGCAACTGAATAAAATCCTTCTTCAGGATTTCTGACTGTCGGTTCATAACTTCATCACTTCCTGTATGAATGATGAGTGTWTTCAGAGTAGAATAATCTGCTGTGATTTCCAGAATCTTCTCTGTGAGGTCAGACACTTTATCAGTAAAACTCAGAACTTTGACTGTTTTCTTGTTCCAGAAGCCTCTGATCTCATTCACCATTTTATCTGTGATGATCAGCATTTCGTGACTCTTTAAAGTCTCTCTCTGGACTTGCTTTGGCTTTGAGCTGGATCTGGTCTCAGGTCCCTCTCTGAGGTCAGAGGATTCAGACTCATTTTCTTCCAGTGGTGTGAATCTGTTTTGAAGAAAGACTTCTCTCTCTTCATTTCTCTGGCTGTTATCAGTTGTTTTGATTCCAGCCTGTTGCTGCATTCTTCTCCTTGCTGCTGGATAAAAATCATTTCTCTGTAATTCTGGCCATTCGTTGTCATCAAAGAGCTGAATTCTTCCTGAGAGATTTTTTTGGTCTGGCACATATAGAGTTCCATACAGCTTTACTCTCAGAAGCAGTTTCCATCTCCTCATCCAGTGGATCTCTCATCTCAGCCTTCTCACCCATTTGAATGCATGTTGAGTCCTCCAAAGCATTCATCTCTTCCAGACGATGAATCTTGAGCTCCAACACCGTCACCTTTTGGAGAAGCTGGCAGAAATCCTCTTTGGAAAAGAAAGGAGGCACCTGCTTTTCTGTTCTCACTCACAGTTGATGTTTCAAAATCTTCTCAGGTTCTTCAACAGCCAAAAATAATATCCAATGTTCTCTGCTTATTCAAGATCATCCATCATGTCAGGGTCACCAAACTGTAAGAAAAAATGTGTTGTTCAAAATGGTGTGTCCCAATAAACAGGAATTTGCTGGATTTCTTCTTTAAAACTTTATTCTCAATCTTCTGACTCCAATCAGGTTTACAGCACAGCACACAGGCCTCTGTGGAATACCTTAGGTTGAATCAAAACAAAACACAGGAGTCCTGCTCTAAAGCAGAGACTCTGCCAAACACTGACCAATTTTTTTTACTATACTAATGAATTGACCTTATAATGTACATCTCTTCCTGGTTACATCCCTGGAGGAGTTACCTTTTAAGTCAGATATCAGAACATCACTCATTTTTGTTTAGGCTAAACGACAGAACACATGATAACACACCAACTCTTTGTCTGCTTTAACCTTAATGACTGAAATGATCAGAAAGTGTAAAATACAATACTATATCTAACATTCAATTAATCACTCACAAAATTTCCTTCAATTTGTTCAGGGATCTTCAAAGAAACAAAACAACACAGGTTAAGTTACTCAGTTAAGAGGACTAAAGCCTGCTGCACAATCCCTACAAACTGCTGAAATCGGCACAGATTGATACAGTTTCATGATGAAAATTACGTCGCCGATGTTCTCAACATCAACTTGGCCGCCCCTTTTGACACAACCCACATGGCAGAATTCTTTACAGCCCTCCCGCTATGACGGTAATGTGTGATTGGTCTAAAGTTCATGGGAGTGTTCGTTTGTGCTGAAAGCGCTCGGATGCTGCATTTTTCTTCAACCACTCAGTTAAAATAAAACTCACTTCCAGCGCAGACTGTTACCACAGATAAAACAGACGTTGTGCACGGAGGAATCTGATTAAAAATTGTGGAGCTTTAACCAGTACAGATTGTGAATAAATACTGTCAAGAGTCTCTGACTTTTCTTCATTTGCATTGTAGACTCCAGCGCAAAGAAACCCCATGCAGTGACGAATCCTGCAGCAGGAGGGGAGTTTCCCAGGAACTCGGCTCGGTCTTCGGGGCTATGAAAGGTGTGTGTGAAAACGAACGCCGAACAACCACGTGACCGCGCATCGACTGGTCGACTTCGGAACGAGTATGTTTCAGGCTTTAGACTGATTAGCT